GCTATAGGGTGCATGCGCTCGCCAGACAGACAGAGAGAGACAGAGAGACAGAAAGTGAGAAATCACCCCCCAGGGGGGATGGCCACACTGCAATCCCTTCTCCTTCGTTCTCCTCTCGGGATCTTGGGCACGCACGCACACGTGCCCAGTGTGTTTTAAGCCACAGGGTCCGGGACGCGAACCGCGATCGACTATGTGGGAGTCCAGCGACATAGCCATTATGCTAACTGCTGGTCCCAAGTCCTGCCTTTTGGACACATCCATTTTCATCTGGAATTTTGGCGTCGTTCTGAGTGCTTTAGAAGACCCTGGCGTGGGAGGGGCGTCTCCAGTGGTCATGGGGCAGTCTCTCTGCGCCTTTCCCTGGGCTAACCGCGGCCTCGCAGATGCACTCTCCCCCACCAGGGACAAGCACGTACTCATGCCAGTGAGAGAGAGGACCGTCCTTCCACCTGTGAGCAGCCACCCGCCGGGGGCCCAGGAATCCCCAATGCCGTCGTGGAGCAGGGAAGAGCCCTCAGCTCCTCGGGGGACCAGGTGGCTGCCCTTCCGTGCAGGGAAGAGGAGAGCGGCATGCCAAGTCTCGGGGTGCTGCGCCAGCCTCGGGGTGCCGCGCCAGCCTCGGGGTGCTGCGCCAGCCTCGGTGCAGCTGTGCTAAGCTTCCCCAGAGAGGTATTTTTCATCAGGTTTCATCGTCTTTTAAAAGTGAGAATGTCTTTGGGAAGACAAAGCTCAAAGCTGTGGAAGTGACACCGCTCTTAAAGGGCTGAGTAGGCGGCAGGGCTGGGAGACACCCGCAGAGAGAGTGGAACACCCCACGCCTCCGCCACGGCAGAGCTTCGGCCACTCGGTCAGCTCTGACCACACGCGTGTCGGAGCAGGGACTGCTGGGCTTTCTGCCTGGCTGGGCCGGACATCTCGCTGGGAAGGGTGCCTGTAAATGCCGGGACGAGTGTAGCTGGCTTTCACCGTGTGGAATGTGTGTGACGGTGAATTTCAGGTGTCACCAGGCCGGGCCACAGCACTAGCCATCTGGTCAAATGCAGCCCGGGGTCTGCTGCGAAGCCTTTTTACAGTTACCTAGGACCCTGCCAGGTAACTGAGCCCCTCTTATCATTGATGACTCTGCATTCAGGTATTTCTCTGCAGCCACCTGCCCACGGCCGCACACCCAGCCGCCCTGCTCCCCGGGCCACCTGCCCACAGCCCACGTGCTCCCTTGGCACCTGGCTGTGGCGTTTGCAGAGCGGCTCAGAGAGACACACGACTCCTTGTCCTGCATGGAGACCCTGGCCTGACCGGAGCCACCCTACTGGGGCGAGCACAGACAGGCCCTGTCCTGCTCCTGCCGCTGTTAATTTCCTCGTCTCAAACCCTGGGGACTACCAGCCTTCCTTCATGGGCAGGAGGCAGACCCCCGACTGTGAAGAGCGCCTCCTCCCCGTAGAGCATGCGCGCCTCCCACGCGGGAAGGTGTGGAAAACACCAGAGACCACGTGGGGGTGGGGTGGGTGGGCAGTGGCACCCATGGACAGAAGGCTCACATGGACGTTTCTCCAGAATGGCCTCTCGGGTGTAGGCCACGGAAGATACACAGGCCAGGACACCACACTGCTTCGGTCCCGGCAAAGCCACTGCTCCCATGCCCGGTGGGCCCTCGGCCGAGAGCTAGACGCGTTTATTGAACACCCTGGTGGGACGTTCTATGGCCCGCCATGAGTGGGCCGAGGGCCGCTTTACCCTGGAGGCAGGCTCTCGAAAGCCGAGGAGGACCGTGCTCTGTCCGCGGCAGGTGCGGAAGCCCGGTGGGCTCTGCGGACAGAGGCAGCATGCCGGGGTCCTGCATGGGCACTGCTCCCACCCCCGAGGGGCCAATGCAGAAAGCAGCTGCCCTCCAGCTCCCCGCAGGCCTCCACGGCAGCCCCTCACTCCCTGCAGCTCTTCGTCCCCAATGCTCCTCTCTTTAAAGGGCAGCCTGCGACCAGCTCCTGCGATGGGGGTACCCGACCCTTAGTACAGGTGGACTGTCATTTTGGGGGGGCTTTTCTCCCTTCCCAAGTTCCTGGCAGCCCGGCCCAGCCCCAGAGCCCATGAGGATGGTCGTGTCCCATCACCTCCCTGCGGCTCTGGGCCGGGAGAGGCACTGGAGAAGCCTCTGAGCCTTTCAGGGTGAAACTGCTCTTCCGGCCGGGGAAACCAAGTGGCTCGCTTGGGGACACCGAGCACCTCGCCTCGGCATGCCATCCTCCCTGAAAAACGCGACTTTCTTCAGAAAATAAACACCAATAAACAAAGACAGAAACAAAAATTCTTTCTTTAAAACACTTTCATGCCGTCCTTCTCTCTCCCGGAGGCGAGGTCCAGACCTACCACGCACGCCGGTCCCCAGGAGGGCACACGCAGGGCAGGCGGAGGGGAGCCACATGCCAGGCAAGGAGCCGAGGGGGCCGGGGAGGGAGAGGGCATCGTGGTGTGGACGGGGCATTTATTTGCGGTGAGAGCGTCACAGACCTCTAGCTCAAACCCAACCTCCAGGGCAGTCCAGAACCTTGTCTTCAGCGGGGGCGTGGCTTAGTCTGGCACCTGCCCCTGGCGGGGACAGGGCAGATGGGAGCAGCAGGAGGACGGGCACCGGGGCCAGCGGCCCGGGATATCTGCCTGGAGATGCCGAAACCAGGTGACCTCGAGCCGCAGGATGCTCCAGGAACGTCCTGGGGGTGCGCTCACCACAGAGCTCGGCCGTGCTGCGTGGCAGAGCCCGTGCAGTGAGTGGGACGCCGGTTCCAGGGGTGACACGGATGCCGCCGACGGGCAAGGTGATGCGCCTGCGCCCCCACAGTTGGCATCCCCTCCAGATCTTGGGGCGGCCGGCTGGGTGGCAGGAGGCGGCAGGTCGTGGGGCCTGGAGGCCAGCGTCACACTGTGGTCATCACCTTCAGTGCGGCCGGCTGGAACCTCCGGATCTTTGTCTTCAGAGCCTTGGAAGCCTTAATGCGGCATAGCTTAGGCACGGGGTGCCGTGGCTGCCGGGGGCCCCCCTGAGGCCAGGCTGGCCGTCCCTGTGCCACTGCGAGCCTGTCCAGGGCCAGGCTGCCGCCTCTGCCCTCGGAGTCACTGGCGCCCGACTCGTGGTCCCCAAAGCGGTTGGCCGTGTGGTCGCTGGCCTCATCCTCGCTGGTCTCAGCGATGGTGGAGTGGAATAGCGAGGTGCACGCAGCCCAGTGCTCCGACTCGCTCTTGGTGTCCGGGTGGGCTGGCCGGGGCCTGGCTCGGGCCTGCGGGCCACCTGCTCTCCTGGGCTGGGGACAACCGGCCACATGGGCCTTGGTGTGGATCTCCACGGAGGACTGCCACCGACGCTGCTTCTTCCTGGACACCGCAGCCAGGGGTGCAGCCTCGAAGGGAAACAGGGCCTGGGCCGACACCCGAAAGCCCCCCTGTCCGGCCACAACCAGGGGGACAAAGAAGGGCACCGGGTAGAGGGCAGACTCAGAGCGGGTCCGTCCGGGTGCCTCCCCGGCCAGGGTGGGCCTCCTCCAGAGCCCACCTCTGCTGGGGGGCCTGCAGGGAGGGCGCCCCCCGAGGGGTGGCCTGGGGGCTGCGTGTGCACCCCGCTGTCTCTCGGGCAGCAGGGGCAGCTGCTTCTTGCACCTTGGGGCCCTTTCACTGGCCCTCCGACTGATCTTCAGGGCCTTTGTCCAGGGCTGGCCTGTTTTCAGCCTCTCCAGGGAAGTCTGGTGGGCAGCCAGGGGTGGCTGGACAGAGCTCGTGCAGGCCAGAAGTGGGCTCTGGGGGTCAGGAGCCCTGCACGGCTGTCGCGTCTGGGCGCAGCGAGCGGGGCCCCCACTGGTCTCCCCAGGCTCATTTTGGCGCAAGGGTGCCGTCCTCTCCTCTGGAAGGCTGCCGGGGAGCTGGGCAGCCCTGGGGGGTGCAGGGCCCTGGTGCCCAGGTCTGCTGGGGGCTGTACCTCCCACGCCCCCTCCCTCTGAGGCACAGACCAGCTTCTCAGGCCGGCTCTCTGTGTCCACTCTCTGGCCACCCTGAGTTACAGCAGATGGCAGCTCCCGTCTTGAGAGGCCCTGCTCGCCCGCCCAGCCCCTTGGGGGACCCCGCCTGCCCCGCAGACACAGCAGTCTGTCAATGTAGGCTCGGGCAGAGGCAGCCTCGGAGGCCCTTCCAGTCCCGGGCTTGCTCAGGCCTGCGGGGCCCACAGGGTCTTCCCCGGCAGCCGGGAGGTCACCTTTCTGAGCCGTCTCATTGGTCAGAGCGAACAGAGGGCTCTGCAGCGCCACAGCGTGTAGGGGGCTGGGGTACGGGTACACCTCCCTGCCACCCCTGGACACCAGGTCCCGCTGGAACTTGGGGTCTAGCTCAGGGGACAGGGTGCCTGTCCCCTGAGCCAGGAGGGCGGCGGCTGGCCTAGGGCCAGTGCTGGCTCTCGGGACCTTCACGCAGGCTGGTGGGAGTCTGTCCAGGTCACCTGGGAGGGACAGAGGAGCGGACATGAGTCTCTAAGACTGTGCTGCACTGCTCAGGCTTGGGCCAGCTGGGCGAGCGGGAGGCTGCCCTCTCCTGGGCGCGGCAACCATGTCCGCCCTGGCAGCCTCCAGGCCTCGGTCATGCTCGGTCCGCAGGGGGGCCGGGCCACTCCC